GCATAGAAGAAGAGCCATGTTGCTTTTTCTGATGTTTATTTTTTCGAGACCGAAAGTATTTTAAAAAATTGCACAAACAGTCGCCTTTTCACGTGAGTGTTTTGTCTGAAAATATGCATTTTATGCTGACAATATGGTTGAAAATATTTATACATACATACATATGTATACATAAGTATATGTATGTGCGAATAAGTCCTGCATACATGGTGTATTTTAAGTAAACGCGTTTGGTTAGGTGATCCGTAGTTGTAACACATTTTATTGATGGTATATGCATACCTATGTACATATGTATGTATGTAAGTATATATGCACATACATATATGTATGTTATTATGCTTGCCATTTTCATTTCCGTACAACAACTCACACATTTCAACTCGCGCACACACAACTCTTTCGCCTACACACAATTTAAGCGACAACTTTAACTTATGGCGCTGACCGTAGTACTTAATATACATACTGCATACACTTATGTACATACATTCGATTGCTTTAATATAATACTAAAATTTTAAATTTAAATTTGCAACCATTTATGTGCTATTCGGTCTATACTTATGTAATACAACAACTATGTGTGCCTATAATAATACATTTCAGCACTTTACTTCGTATATACATACATACACACAATAATATACACATACATACCTGCGCGTATTAAAGAAAAAGAATTACTAAAGAGTATTTAACTTATGTAATTTGTGTTATCCCATCAGTCCTTAATTCTCAATAACCGTTACTTTTTGCTGCACCGCCATAGTTCTCCTTCATTAACTTGCTGCTTCTTCCTTTGTAGGCGGGCGATCCTTTTTAACTTTTCAGCCCGTATTTATGTACATATTTGCGTGCGCGGGCAATTGCTTCTGTCACACCCATTGACGCATTAACTCTCTCCTACACCCACACACACGCATACACACATATACTACAGTTGCATTGTCTTTTTTTGCGCCGCTGTTCTTCTGCAGTTTTTACTCCTCCGGCCAGCCAAGATCTTCGCCAACCAATTCATAGAATCGTTGATTATGTTCGGTAAAGAATTTTCGCAATTTGGACACGACCACAGGATCAACATGCGGATGCTTGCGTCCTTTTGTTTCGCGTAAGCATCGGTCGCCACTATCGTAACGTAAACAGTAGAAACCCTTTGTTTCGTTAAAATAAAAATGACTGTTGGTCACACGATGCTCGATGCCTGTACTTGTACGGTATGTGGTGATGGCGTTGATGGTAGTAGTGTTGGTAATTGTGTTGACAATGCGCATTGTGAAGTTACAAATCGAGTTGGAATTGGTTTGTTGCAGTTGACCAGCAGACGTAAGTAATTGTAGAGGCCGCAATATGAAATTTTAATGCATTGCAGTTGGTGGTTGGCAGTAAAAGCGGGCCGAGTAAAAGAGTTCAATGTGCCAGCAGTGCGACATTCCCAAAGAATTTGTTTGCAAAGAAAATAAGAATATTAATTGGTACAGTTAGTAGAGTTTAAGTAATTGCTTATGAGCGACTTATTTGGCAGTATGAAGCATAATATTCCTACTAGGATACCTTTGAAGTATATAAAGCCAGCGATATACAACTCAGTTTTGATTTCTCGGAGCTATCTTCTGTGATCAGACAAGGATCGTGCATCTAAGAAACAACGTTGATGTTTACATTTATGGCTATGAAGTAGTAGAGGAATTCAATTAATTCAAATCAAAAGAAAATCGCTCCTATCACCAAGTTATACTTTGATATGAGTAGACAACTGCGCTATAAATTCCTCTCCTGATTCTCTGAAGTTACACTTTACAGGAAGAACAAATGTTTTCGGAGTATATCGACACCTGAGTGGAAGATCGACCTATCTCGGCAGCCAGTTCGAAAACGCCCTATCTCAGAAAACTTTTCCAGAACGCCCTATCCCATAATTTGGGTGAAGATCACCCTATCTTAGAATTCGATTCAAAAACGCCCTATCTCAGTTGCCGATTTAACAACACATCTTTTTAAAAAATAATTTCCTTTGGGATAGGGCATTTTTAACCGAATCCTCAGATAGGGCGTACTTCAACCAAATTCTGACATAGGGCGTTTCTGAGAAGTTTCCTGAGATAGGGCGTTTTCGAACTTTCTGCCGAGATATGTCGATCTTCTCTCGATATATGGCTACTTGCGTATTTGTGTAGTAGCAGAGAGAGAGAGAGAGAGAGACTGGTTACCAACTGGCAATATTATTTCGAGGAAGGTCTACACTGAGTTGAAGAGGCCAGACTTGGCCTTAGCTATAAGTAAATTTTCAAAAGTTCGAGTTGAACCCATAAGTTGCTTCAATTGTCAAGTTAATTAATGAGTGATTACACATACATACGTGGTAATCTTATTCATAATGTCAATTAATTTATTAGAAGTATATACACAGTATGTGTATTAGGCTGGGTCGATCTGACAGTATTGTAATAGTAATATTATGATATCTTAGTGTCAAGTGTCAAACGATATAAAAATGTGCAGTTAAATCAAAAATTTTAAGAATAAGAATCAAGATGAATTGAAAAAAAATAATGAATAGAAAAAAATTTTCAAAGAGAAAGCCCACAAATAGTGGATTTGATGTTTGCGCGGATTGAGGAAGCTGCAGCCCTTCAAGACGAATTTATTATAGATTACTTTATCTTAATTGTTTCTTTGGTTATGTATATACATATGTATAATGCGAAGAAAAAATAAATATGAAATATACATTTCCAATAATAAATTTTATTTCCACATTTGAAGTACAATTAATAAATGACATTTGAAATTGATTGGAGAGTTAACCGTATTCTCAAATGCAGATTTATTGAGAAAGCTGTAATTTTCAAATCAATATCAAATCATTTTTAAACGTTTGGCGTTTGAGAAAGGCTTTGATTTCAAATCATTCATGATATATGCATTATTTCGATTTTTTTCCAATATGCATTATTTCGTATGTACAGTTTTAGGGTGCCAAAATTTAATTTCCGATCCACCGTAATGTATATGTTTATAAGCGTCTTTGTTGAGTGCAATACTACAACAACTATTTTTATTACAAAATGTGATTTGAAATGTATTTCTCACACCATGACAGGCAAGAGTAGTCAGTTACACTTTGAAAGACCTTCATTTATACTTGTAAGAACATACGAATGTACCTATGCAAATGCATTTTCGTCTCGAATCAAAATAAGTAAATTAATCTTGTGCATATACATACATACATATGTATGAACATACAATATACATATGTACGAATATTTAAATTCAAAGCATGCTCTTATCGGTAAATACAGTGGTGTTAAAACAAATAGGCACGCGACATTTTAACAAATTTTGCCTATTTTTCTTTTGTTTATTTAATATCTATTAATTTTTTCTTTTTTTTAAGTGTGGTTAATTATGTAACGAAAACCACAAAAAATCATATTTCAAATTTTGTGCGAAAATTATAAAAATTCTGCAAAATTGCATCTAAGTTTCAATCTTTTTAATCAGACTTTTCTCTGGCTGTATTACGCTTTTTTTCTATACAAAAAAAAATTCTCGAACATAATTGTCATGAAAGAAAATGCGTGAAAAAATTAAAAATGTAGATGCAATTTTACAGAATTTGTATAACTTTTAAGCCAAGTTTAAAATATGGTTTTCGTTTGACAATAAGCCATACCTTTATAAAAAATAATAAGTATAAAATATACAAAAAGTAGTTGTTGTGTCTCCATTAGTTTTGCCACCACTGTATATATATGTAGGTATTTATGTATCTATGCAATTTCGATGCCAAGCTGGTATAACTTATTTTGTATGCGCTCAGTTGCCAGTGCATATGCACACCAATTTTGCATTCGACATCCATTTTAATGTGAAATCTGATAAGCCAATGTAACATCAGATTATTCGTTAGTTACGACAACAGAAAATTCGAAATGCTAATCCATCTTAAGTTAGCTATCTAATGTAACTCTGATTGTCTATTTAAATACGCCTCAGCTGATTGAAGTAAAAGGCTAACTTAAATGAATGGCAATTGCGAAATGAATATTTATTACGGTATTTATATGTAAATCATCTTCGTGCACATAAATACATATTTAGGTGTTGCTGAGTAAAATTTTCAATCCTTAAACGAAGTTCGTTATACTTGAGACTTTTTATGAAAAACTTTCGTTATTGAAAATCAATTTTAAACATTTGCATATTGGCCATTATTATAGACGCTAAACTTGGCTAAGTGATTTTCAGCGGCTCTTCGGTCAGGGGGGGGGGGGGTCAAGTTGTGCAGGGAAGAAGACCGAATTGATCCTTTCTCCTCACAGTAGTAGCGCATAATTCCTTCCAATCTCACCAAACACTCAACATAACCTTGTTTGCTCTCAATTCAGACTTTGTGGAGCGTCATTGGCTATTCTCGTATTAAATCCCTATTTAACGCATTTTTACGTGTTTTCTTCTTTGCTAAACTAAACTACGCTACCCTATGCATTCATTTCAAAATCTGTTACCATTACTGATGTCGCACTTTCCAAGTCATTGAATCGTATTAGCTGAGCAAATAGGAATACCTACGGATCCGCAAATTCATCATCACCTATCATTTAGTACAACCAACAAGAAATAATTACATCCTGTCGCGCACATTACTGGAGACTACACACACACACGAGTGTTCAAACACCACAGCGAAGAAGGAATGTTGCAACACCCCTTTTCATTAAGTACAGTGCCTGTATGTAATAGTGGCAATGCAGACATGAAAATACATGCGCTTATAACCGACTTTAATCAAATTAGGACAGCACAATTAGCAACATGTAACAACGATAGATATGCATACTCACGCACCTGTACATATGTACATACATATGCACTGGCCGGAAGAAATTATATGTACATACATAGGTATACATATGCAGCGAGCACTCTGTCCGAGTGTAGAAGAGTGTTTTTTATTTTTTTTTTTATTTTACCGCTCAATAACGACTTACCTAGGAACGTTTCAATGCGCTTCAGTTGCGATACGGGGTCCTCAATTAATCGATCACCATTGACAACGAGTAATTGCTCACGCGGGAAGACTTCCAACCAACGATGCAAATGCAAATGATATAGAGAGATGGTTAGTGGGCGATAGGACTCATTCACCGTGCCATTGGGGAATATGGCGAGCTCCTCGAATGTTCTATGAATAGAAAAAGACGGAAATTAGATGAGGGAAATAAATGTATAATTAAGCATTTAAAATTATAGAAAAGCTTGTAAGCGTATAACTAAGCATGTATGTATGTATGTAG